TTTGGCGCAATCTCGCAAACCTCAACAAGTAAATTGTTGGTCACAAATATGGTACAAAGTGAGTAGTTCTAAACAAAGTTCATCCAAAGGAAATTTTCTTGTCTAATGAAAACTAATCTCGAATTCTTCTTTTGAAATGGCTGCATAAACGCGACTCAACGTCTACTGAGGAGAGTTTTGTAAATCGAGCGGATAGTGTGAGGAGTTGTTCGGCAGCAACCTCCGACAAGAGATGCCCCTGCTTCACACCATCTATTTACGTATGAAACAAAGTCTTTGTCCGAAACCCCTGTGTTTTGCTGCCAAACACCCAAATAGGAAAAAAAAAATGAAAACAAAGAGATGTACAAATGAAATAAAAAGAAAAGAACGAAAATAAAAAAAATGAATATATTCGCTCAAAATGAGTTTTTTGGTTAAACCAGAGTTAATTTTGAAAAGGGTGAAATGGTTAGTTGTTAATGCGATTTTAAGTTTATATAAAAATAATATTTCAAAATAAAACAATTAAAGTTGATTTCGATGTAAAAGTAAGAAAGATGATGTAAAGTGATTGTTAGGTAAAATTATGTGAGCGGGTGAATAATGTATTAAAGTTAATGTGATAGCAAGAATGATTTATTGATATTACTTAACTATATTGATAATATTGAAGATAGTGAAATTAAATTAAAGTTGAGATAGATTTTGAGTACGAATTGAGTTATTTTATGAACAAACACACCCCAAAGAACTCACCACCCACTCCTTCAGATCAGCATCATAACTCTCGCCACTGTTTGGATAAATAAGTATTGGTTTATTCGTCACCTGACGTAAAAATCAAGAAAGCTCAAACTGAAATAACACATTAATATAATGAGCAATTAAAATCTTGCAGTTCTTCACCTTTTTTTGTAATTATCAACATCATAAACAGAAAATCAGAAAACGTACCTTCTTGATCGAGAGAATAAGATCCATGATAAATCTAGGTGGAGTACAATTAATCCCCACGGCCACGATTTTGCTGGATGACTCAGCAATGGCAGCACATTCGAGCAAAGAATCTCCGCTAACCACATTAACTCCATCTTTCGAGTTGAATGACAGCCATGCGGGAATATCAATCTCGTTTTCCTCGAGAAGCTCAGCAAAAGCCTTGTCGAGTAGAGTACATAAAATTTTATACAATATAAAAATAAACTCAAAGAGTTTTTCTTACATATGAATGATGCAGAAATGCAATCATCATCAGTGATAATTACTAACATGAAAAATCAGGGAAAAAAAAAATACATATCTGTACCTGAGCTTCAAGCTTGTTGGGCACAGTTTCGAATGCGATAAGATCAGGACCAGCATCAGCAAGGACTTTAACTCTCCTTCTGTGGAAGTTCTTTAAGAAATCAAGATCCATAGCATCCCCATAATCACCACTGCATAATGATATATATAGTAAATAAATTGCCCTAGACAAAGCAAAATCCAAAAACATAACTGCAAATAAATAAAAATCAAAAGGGTAATATAAACTTAACGGAAAAAAAAAATAAAAAATAAAAAATAAAAACCAATCAAAACTCAAATTTAACTTTACTTTAACCCATCCCCATTATCATCAATATTATCAATATAATTAAATAATATCAGCCAATCATTATTACACATCACTGTTCATCCACATAATTTTACCTAACCATCACTTCTAATCATTTTAAACCTACTTTTACATCAAATCAACTTTAATTATTTTATTTTAATATTTTAATTTAAACTTAAATTAACTATGATTAACAAAAAAAACCAATCAAATTCATATCCAATCACGCCCTAAAATGTTTACAGATCATAACTAACTCAAAGACATATTCACATACTTTAAGAACAGAGATATATCATTAAACACAAAGAACTATTATAGCTCGATTAATTGTAAAAATTTCACCTATATTCTGAACCATCAGCTAAATAAGCCCCATAACTCCCTACAGATGCAGCAACTAATATCGGCCGTTGATTGAGAATCTTATCATTATCGGGAGTTTGATTGGTGAGAGCCTCACGGCACCGGCCGTAGTATACTTCTCGTGCCTCGAGTGCAATTTCAACACTCTTTCTCAACAAATTCTCACTCTCCTCTAGTGAATATCCTTTGTTCTTGAATCCCTGTATTGTGGCCTGTGCAGTTGTGTGTGTAAATTTTTCGGTTTTACTTTTACCTAACAGATAAACATGATGGAAGAAGGGACTTCGGCGTAAAATGATGAAACATAAAGTAACCTGATAAGAAGCTGTGATTATGATGTCTGCACCTGCCTCGAGGTAATCTAAGTGTACCTGCTTTAGAGAAAAATAAACCATGAAGAACCAATGATTTGAAATTGTTCAATGCAAGAAAAACGAGCTAGTTGTATCCTATTCTATCTCGGCAGACCAAGAAAATTTAAGACTTAAGGAGTTCTTCATATGCTTCTTGAGACCATTTATATAGAAATATTCAAAGTAATAACTACACTGTCTTCCATCGATTTTGATCAAAAAATGGGTCAAACACAAAACCAGCAAATTAAACCATCTCATAGCAAGGTGTTTTGATTCATTCGATTCTTGTAGAGCATATGAAAATTTATCATCTCAATGAATGCATATTTGTTCGAAAGGAATCCCGCCTAGCGGTTAGGCTGCCTCACACCGAGCTTTAACTAACCGGTTCGGATTAAGCTCACAGGGAGCCAAAAAATAAGAAGCCATCAAGCTAAATCTAAATGGATAAAGATGAATATTGCCACACGGTGGAGAACATCTTATTAATTGTTATGTCCTAAATCTCTACTTACAATCACTGCCAAAATCTGAAGTACAAAATTCACAAGATAGCTTCTTCACATACACAAATTTCTCATAACCTGACAAAAAAAAAAAAAACCAAGAAACATAAATAAAAAGGACTAAAAATTATCATGAATTTAGGATTACATGTACACGGGAATGCTATGGAGTCATCGGATGGTTTCTTTAAGGAACAATCCATAACTTTATGCATTGACATGTGTCCATTGTGTATTTATAGCAGGACACGTGTCAGTACACCATTTGTGGATGGCTATGAATGGCTCCGAGCCATCTGATGGCTCCATAACAAAACCGTACATGTACAATTCCCTGTTTAGTTAAAGTAAATACTTTACACAGCAAGCAAGATTGCTCGAAAAAAAGGTTCGAGCTTTGGGCATATGACGAAGACCCATAAACCTGCTAACAGTATTCATGATTCCAACTTTCCAAGTCGATACAGTAAAATGGAAAAATAAATACACAAGAGCAAGTATAGAGCAAAAGAAGGAAGGCTTACGGCACGGATAAGGTGGGGAGAGGTGAGGAGGCATTTGGCGCTCCAAAGAGGGTCGTGGAGATCGGCGCCGTGGCGTTCGAGCTCCGTGGCGAGTCCGCCGTCGATCACGGCGACGCCGCCGCCGCATTGGCGGAGGAAATCGGACATGGCCGTCGCGACGTGCCCCATTTCCCTCAATTGCAATGCAAAATCTCTGTTCTCCCTTTTCTTCTTCTGTTTATGTATTTAATTAATAAAAATAAATAAAAGTTTGGTGGGTTTGGTGGAGATGACGATGAAATGAGATGAACCCTTTACCAAACTCTCAGATCATTTATATATATCTAAACATTTTTGAAAGGGTTTTCTGAAATCTTGCAAAAAAATTTCTGTTTTTTCTTTTTTTTTTTCCTTTTTCCCTATATATATTTTAAAATATGTATTCCCAAAATAAAATAACATGGTGACACATTTCTGTTATATTATGAAATTATTAGGGGTGTTCACGGTCCGGTTTTAACCGAAAAAAACCGTCAATTCGGACCGTGGATCAGTTAAATGGTCAGTTAAAAAAGCCTTAAAAAATCCGGTGGTTAATTTTTTTAAAAATCCGGAATAACTGGTCCGGTTAACGGATTACTTGCGGCAAATCACCGGTTTAACCGGACCGGACCGGTAAATATTAAAAAAATTATAACAAATATATATACATTCAGTCATTCACTATGGCCGACAAATACAATACATTCACTTTCACTTTTTGGCCTTTTGTTGACTTAATTTTGTAAGGCACTATAACTTTTCACTTTTTCTCACTTCTATTTTTTCATTTCCAAATTTTCCCACCTCCTCTTCCTAATTTTTTAGGACGAAATGTGTATTTTTATGCTTATGGGACGAATTGTGTATTTTTTATTTCATTGTTGTTGTTTTTCTCAATTTTTAGGCCCAAATAATCTTTTTTGGGCCTAAAATTGAAAAATAAAAATTAAACTCAAAATCAAAAAAAATAAAAATTGGCAGCCCAAATTTGTTTTTGGATTTAACCAGTTAACCGCCAAACCGGACCGTCCAATGCGGTCCAGATTGTGGCCGGTTAAAAAATAAAACCGGTCCAGTTATGAAAAAAAAAATAACCGTTAGGTCCGGTTTGGTCATGGTTTTGGCTAAAACCGAACCAATCCTTACCGTGAACACCCCTAGAAATTATAGTGAAAATGCTACGGTCCCGTTACGGAACCATTCTGTCTGAGTTTGTAACTGTTAGATTATTATGTAATCGTTGGAGATAGTTGATCTAATAGTTATAAACTCCGACAGAATGATTCCGTAACGAGACCGCAATAGAGTGTGTTTTTCATTTTATGACCACGTTCATTGAATCTGCAATTTGATGGATGCCCAAGACAATAGAGTACGTATATGATTTAGATGCAACAAAACAACAGACGTATCTTAGTATTATTTTTTTT